GAACAGTAAGTCCTTCGTTGTTTCTGGAAGCCCATTTTCTAGTGTAAAAGAGGACTTGTTAGACGAAATTTTAACTTCAAAAGGTAGTACATTTATATAGTGATTGGATTGTATGAGGTTAGAGGTCTTTCCGTAATCAATATTGGACCACAGGGGCTCCACAGGTATTTTATGTCAAAAAGTAGGAATTTTTTATTGTTGAAGTAACAGGATTGTGTTTTGAATAATAGGACTTTTTTGTACTTGAAGTGACAAGCCATAATTCCCCTTTTCATTGCTTTTCATATGTTGTTTATTAATTTTTTCGATTTCAGGCACAGCTAAATCCAGTCATTTTGGGTCTTTTGAGAGTTCAGGAGTACAAATTTGTCCATGTACTCCAACATGAAATTGTGGAGGCTGTCAAAAATACGATGCGACAGGTAATGAAAACTGTTTATTTTTTTTCATATTTCAACCGAGAAATAGAGATAATTGTCTGCTGGTTGTCTGTTCAGTTAAAAATTCATTTGACGGACTTTTGTTTTGTGCTTTTCAATTTACTGTTGTTATTGGTTTCAAAAAGAATTTTAACGAGATTTACTTATACTATAGAATTTAATAATACGAAGTTATTTTTTTACAATGTTTATTATACTTGATACTGGTTAGTTTTGACAAGTAAATCGCACTCTCACCATTATTTCTTCTTAGACAGTCAAGTCACACGTGGTTAAGAATTTGGCTGCAGATCAAATAACAGAATATGACCCGTCAATTGGTAATTTGAGTAGCCAGATGAGAAGATTGGATTTCACGCAGTGGTCTGCTGCTCTAAAACATGTCTTGAGCATCCTTTTTTACACTTGTAGAAAAGTACAAAGTATTCAAGAACTGATTATTGAAAATATCGATCAGTTTATTCATCTTTATAATGGAGATCAAACAGCGTCACATCAGTCAGAGAGGTATTTGCTAGTGCATAATTTCAGAAAATATTTTTTTGGAATCAAAGCTGAGATTTGGAAGAAATTTCAAAGTAATTATTTTGTCCCATTCGAAGGTATAGTTCGGGTGGAGTATCGCAATTGTCCACTGGTGTTTCAAATGTCGAGGGACCTAACAGCGAAACAGTAGCGCTGCAGGATGAGGACGATGATTTTATAGGGGATGATTTTTCTGGAGATTTGCCTGAAACTTCGAAACGCTTACCCGCAGTCCCAGTCTCCTGTACGCCTGATTCTTCGAGCGAATCACGTTTGGGGCACAGCTGTTCTACAACTTCTTTTGCTTCTTGGTACCGGTTAACTTACTATTTGCTTCTTGTTTTCCCTAAATTTAATATTCTAGATGATTAATTTTTAGTGCGCAGGAGCAGTTGCTTATGGATAAAAAAGTTGGGGAGTTGACGTTAACCAGTGAATGCAGTCGTGTTTCTACTGCCCCAACACCTGCTGCAGTACTTTCAATGCCGTGTCGGAATTTGTTTCAAGTAATTTTATCTGAGTGTTTTTTGGAACGTGCTTACTTGAATTTACGCGGCATATGAGGCTGAATTGGCATAAAATGCGGAGAAAGTAGGAATATAATTCAAAAATAGATTAGAACAGCTTTACCGAAGGGCGCTGCATAGTCATCTAATTGTGTTTTTTCGTTGGTTCTGCGAATTAGCAGGAAGGAATTTAAAGGCTTTCTTCTGCTGCAAAAACATGACATGTCTAACCGCTCTGCAACGAAGTAGCTTAACTTTATTAAGAAACAGCATTTTTGGTTTGGAAAGTACAAATTGCACAGATTATTGGCAGTTTCCTGTGTTTTCAAACAATGAGCATTGAAGTAGATTGCAAATATCAGGACGTATTGAAGAGCAGGTGTTATTTCTACATATTTGTTTTTTTTTTTTTTAAACAGGAGATATAAAACTTGTTCTTGTAAACAATTTCAGTTGTGCCATATTTTTTGGTGATAAGGTTGGTAAGGCTTTTTGTATGTGAGATTTCTGAATCTGAAAGACTGGAGTTATGGCAAAAATCGTTCTTCTAATTCAGTATTTTTTTACCAAAGTTTTTACCAACTTTTTGTTTATTCAAGCTTGAATTTTTCATTTTTTTGAATTTAGTGCTTTTACTACTCTGCATTTTTCGGTCATTTCTTTATTCAAATATTTTATTCTTCAACTTGGTGAGGGTATATCTGTTATTAGGTACGACAAGCGATCACCCTCTTGTTAGAGCACGCTATTTATGCTTGTCAGGAGCGTAGTTGTAGACTTCTCGTTGCAAGATCTAAGGTATGTATATATAAAATGCCTTTTTGGTTTTCTGTATGAAATGTTCAGTTAAATACTGGTACCTTGATTTTCTGATTGTCATTTTTATACAATGTTTATGTATATGATGCAAGTAAAATGTTAATGAGCAACCTTTGGGTGGTGGTCTACTCTTGTTCATTTCCTTTGTTAAATACCTTAAAAGGGATATTTCAGGACGGATTCCTTGAGCGGTTACCCGTAAATGAGTTTCATAGTGTAGTACAATTAACAGAAGCTTTTGTCAGGGACTGCCGTCAGCTTGCTGGTCAACCGGAACAATACGGGTCACCTCTGCGCATATGCATAACGCAGCAGTGTAGTGCTTTTATCAAAAGATTTCACGAAGATCGTAAGGGAAAGCTCGGGTTAGATTCAGATTTACTTTATTGGCATTTTTTCCAACCTTTTAAACCTAGTAAAGTTTAGCATTATATTGGACTCGGAGAATTGGCGTTCGACTCAGGTACCTGAACATTATCAACGATTAGTAAATGAATGCTGTGCAACAGGAAAGCTTCACGATATTCCCAATACTGCTGAAAACGAATTTTCACTAAAGACTTCTTTAAACGTTGACGGCGAGGATTATGTTGTCGTTGGGTATCTATATTTAGTGGCAATACTTTTGTTTATTATTTTATACCTAAATATTCATTTGTTCACTTTATTTATATCTTTTTTTGTTCATTACTGCAAGTCAACCTTAAAAGTCTGCTTCGGAATAAAAGAAAATTTTTTTCTTATTTGACATTATTTTAGTGCAGCGCTATTCCTCTTAGAAATGCTAGCTCAGTATTGCGATGTTGTTACTGTTTTACCTGATTATTCGTCCGAATTGCTAATGTACGTTGTGGAGTTGTTGAAGAATTATAACAGTCGTAGTTGTCAACTAATTCTTGGCGCTGGTGCTTTGCAGTTAATTGGACTGAAATCGATTAGTGTTCGTCATCTTGGTAAGTGTATGATGACCTTTTTGTCTTTGTTAGGTAAAAAGTTTGTTTTTTTGAACTCTGGTTTGCCTGCGCTTATTTAGCCGTTTTGATTTTCTGCGATTTTAGAATATTATTTGCACGGAGTTGTAATGTTTTTTATTTGCATATTTGAGGGAATTGTATTGGGTTTTTTATATTTTTTAATCGTTTTCTTTTCGTATCTGATAAGCTTAAACCCCGCATTTTGAAATTTCCTTGTGCGTATGAAAGTGGAGAAATGTCGATTATGCTTGATTTGTCCTTTTTTTTTTGTTGTTGTTGTTTATATATATAATTTTTCCCAAATTTTTTTTGAACCATCATTTATACTGTTATTTTTCTTTGTAGCATGGAGAAGATTTCATTTAAATTTTATAGCTTTGTCGTCGAGATGTCTTCAACTTATTCTAAGGTTTGTACCCTACGTAAAATCTGAATTTGAAAGTCATCTGAATGAAGAAAAGCAAAACTTGATGCGTCATATAATCAAAGTGACTCGAGTAAGTACTTTTGGTTGTTTTTCTCATGGTTTCTTAGACATTATTCATTTTAATCGCAGACAGTTACATTGTTTAGGACTATAAGGATCACATCCAAGAAATAACAAACAAGCTTATCAGCGTTATTGATCATCATGTGGTTACACAGTTAAAAATGGTAAGTCTTGTGAAGATGTTTTCCAGAATCTGTTTTGAGATAATGTTATTATGTTTTGATTTGTCAAGTATCACTTTCTTTATATTTACTTCGGAAAAGTAAGAATACTAATTTTTTTCGAACATTGTGGATTCTTTAAGGAGCTTAACCACAAGTTCATTTCTAGTAGTTTTTTCATCGAGGGATTTGTAAAAAATATTTTTTAACTTTGTTCAACGTCTCTAAATTTTAACTCTATTTATCGTTTAGTGGGACTTAAAGGGTCCTGTTCCTTCACTTACATTTCAACAAATCTGCAAACAGCTTGGTCGATTTTACAACGGACTGTCTGGTATAATGCCCGAGTATATGATAAAGGTTTCAGTTTTTTTTTTTTTTTTTTTTTTTTTTTTGAAAACTTCGATTTTAATTTGACATGTAACGGGAAGACTTTTTTTAGGAGTTATTTCAACAAGTTCACGAGAATTTTAAAACAAATTTAAAAGAGCAGCTGGACTTAATGGGTGTAACTCCGCATGATTCGCTTACTTACGGGTAATTGTGCGTTTCTAGAGGACCAAATTAGAGATCATTTTTGTGCAGTTTTTGTATAACCTTTTCTTTTA